TCGATAAATAATTGAGAATTGAATATTGATTTGAAATGGAATTTGTAATCGACAATGTTGTGATATATGGAGGTATTTGAATTATTATTGGAACTAAGAATTGGAGAAATAACGCGAATTCGATTGAACAGAACTAGGTGAGCATAAATGAACGTGTTGTATTTGGAATTTGAAATGATGAAGTGATCAATTACAAAGGAACTATTGGTCCATAAAAACATCACACTTGTTTTTCAACATTGTTATAAATTTACTTGAATTTTTACTTGAATATTTCCATTTTTATAAGCACAGTTTTGAACTATTTAATCCTCAATAATGACTGGAACCTTAATACTCGGTGTTTTTATGTAATTATTGAGATGGGATAAGCTGACACTAAGAAACAGTGTATATCATATTACTTATGTTGCTTGAGGTAATCTTGGAGCTTGACAATATGTTAAGGTTCCTTTTGAAATTTTTTTACTTGAGATCAGGCTGATTTGAAAGATCTTCTTTACTGAAAGTTAGGGTGAATACTGTGTCTGTTAACATTGCCTTGATATAATCACGAATCAAAATGTGTTATTATTTTTGTTATCTTTTGATGAAATGAAAACGCTGACACTAACTTATCTAATAACCCATTTTATCTTTCCCGTGTTCCAACTTTTGATCATCTTTGGTCAGTCAAGTCGCAATTCGGAAATTAGTCTAAGAGATCCATTCTTAATTGACCTACTATATGTTGTCTAATGGATGAAGAAAACTGCATGAAACCTTGAATCCAGACCTTGTGCCAGCTAATATTCATCAGGATGACACATTACAGTATTGACAGAATCGATGGTCCCTGTAAAATTCGAGTAAACATCTTCTTCTATCACCGTGTGTAAAGCTACCAATTACCTATTAAAGCTCTAGTTTTAATAAAATTCTACAATATTCTATAACATTAGTTCCTACTAAGTGATCAATAAGTGAAATCAATCAGTAACACATGAAATCATTCTTCATCCGTTGTATCTGATCACTCAATAACGAAATGTTTAAGTACTGAAATCTAGCTTATTCGTTCTTTAATTCAATATCGAATATTTGCTTATTTTAGTTGCAAGATTTCCTACAACAACAAAAGATATCAGAAATAATACTTCAGTTAGATAAATAAATATGTAAATAGATTGAAATCATGAGTCAGTTGAAGCTAGACCGCCATTGGAAACCTGGAAGCACTGGAAGGCCGTTTCGTCCTAGTACGGGACTCCTCAGCAGTGTGCACCCACGATCCCGCACCCCGAAGGATTCGAACCCAGGACCTGTTGACTCCGCACGCAAGCACTTAACCATTAGACCGCTGAGCCGGCATCCAACGATGTTAATGTCTAATTTGGAATCCAGTTTGCGAGCTTTTTCCTGTTCAGCTAGATGCATATGAATCCCAGAGTTGATGTTTACTCCCAGACTCGAATCTAGCACTGTTAGGCATTAATTTTCTTCTAAGTTATGTGATTTTTGATGAGAAACAAACAAAGTAATTTATTTTACTAGCTATAAATGATCACTGATGCTTACCACAGTTACACAAGTTCAGCCTTTATATACATATAAATAGAACTAACTAGAGTCAATGAGAGAGAAGGTTCATGATGTAATCAACTATATGGAATATGTGTACTTTGTTGTCAACATAATGGACACAATGTTAGAAAAACTGATAATAAATTGAATTAGATTTATTCATGTTTCATATAATATTCTATTTGTCGAATTACATCTTATTAACAAAATCAATATGCATTTTTGATAGATTTGAAAAACACACACAAGGTTGTTGTTTTCGTTATTCAAAAAGCATATCGACTGAACGAGTACTTTATGAAAAATAGACTAATCTTATTTATTCAGTTATTTGTAGCCAATTTCCTAACTAAATATTAATAAGCATGTGTTCCAATATCTGGTGATTAAAGGTAGTTGACAAGAAACTATGAACTTAGGTCTTGTGTTGTTAGTTGGTCCTCGTCAGCAAGACGATTTGATTAGGATGAGTTCAACTTTAAACTCATTTTCACTTATAGGATTAACATCAAACATACAGCAGGTTAGTCGCCACCCAAATAGCTAATTGGTACCATCTTAGACTACATAACCAGATAACACGAGTTTGAGTCCTAGAAGAAACACCAATTACCCTAAGGTATAGACTGTGTATGATTGACGAGTGTCAATTACCACAAAATTCAAGATTTTAGTTACCTACCCACCATTTCAAACTAACTAACGTCAAAATATACTGAATATAATAATAATCATCTGTTCACTAGTGACTGACTTCGAGGGCATTTCCTGGAGTTCTAGTGAGGAGCCGTTACCAGTAGAGTTCAACCAGGTCTGTTGTCAGATATCAAATCACTGAAGACATTGGTGAACGGTGGCGCATCTTCGTGGATTGGTTGAAGTTAGACATTAACACAGTTGGATGCCGGCCAGCTCAGTGGTCTAATGGTTAAGCGCTCTCGCGCGAGACTGATAGGTCCTGGGTCCGAATCTCGAGGGGGCGGGATCGTGGATGCACACTGCTAAGGAGTCCCACACTAGGACGAAAAGTTGTCCAGTGTTCCCAGGTCTAGCTTCAATTGACTCATGATTTCAACTATTGAAATTTCTAAAAAAAATCTCCACAAAACCCCTTTTAATAATAATTTAAAGTCATTAAGACCAGAGGCATCATTACAACTTGATCAATAGAATTCGATTGACATTGAGGACTAGACAAACATGATATTGGTCACTATTCAGTAATTAGTTAATACATACAATCATGTATTCATTATTGACTAACTTCAAGATGAATTTTCCTTTATTTCAATAAGAATCCATAACCGGTGAAACTAACCAGGTTGGATTTGGAATAATAGGTATTAGGTTTGAGTCACATAAAGAATATCAATAATGGTATTGAAGTACATTTATCTCTCTTTGTTTTGATATTATCGTAAAAATAAAAATGAGTAATGCCGTACACTTTAGAGCAAACATAAAAATAGGCAAAACGTGGTTAAATTTCTGTCAGAAGACATATTCAGAAGTTGACTAGATCATTTGTGAGAACCTCATTCCCATAATTAATACAAACCTTCATTATGATTCTATACATAAACATCAGTTAATATCTAACTCTTAGTAAATTAGAAGTCACCATTTTGTCAAAAACAGATTCGAATTCAATTGATAAATATATAGTCTGTTCAATAAACACCAAAACCAAGTTTATAAAAACTTCCCTGAAGTTTCTTGAGATCTAAACTTTTCAGCTCTCATGTTGATGCTTCAAATTTTGCAAACAACATATGTAGAAACAATATTTTTCTTAAATTAGTTCATTCGTGATCATCTGAACAATGAATCGACTGACAAAAAAAAACAAAATTGCACACTTTCTATGTTCTTACCTATAAACGTGGTTCAAAGTCTTTCAACCGATTAAGTTATCGTTGCACTGAAATTATTGATCCTCTTGAGAAACTACCATCTTTCATGTGAGATCTTCATAAACAATTTTTAATAATTTATGAAGTTCTTGATTACTTTTCTTAATTTCAACTAAAAAAAGATTAATTTCTTAGTTCCCATATCTATTGAATGAAACATTTACCAGTAAGCACAGAGTTTCAATAGACGAACAAGCACCAATTTTCCACAGTTATGATAACTTTTTATAGACTAAACTTCCTTACAAAACATCCAGTTGTAATTCAATTCAATACACTTTTGTAATCACTATAATTTTTTCATACATTAACACTCGGTCCATATTGCATAATTTGTAAAACTGAAAATTATTCTAAGAGCGATCAATAACACACTGTGTCACGCACTCACTCACTCACTCACTCTCTATCCATTCAGTTGCTCGATCACCGTAAAATACATTAATTAGCAACAGCCAAAATTGTCAGGGTATTTTTGTAAGAACGAAGAAAAATTATACAATCTCTTTTCTCCTTCCATCATCATCAACTTATGTCAAGTTGTAAAAATTAAATTTATCTCTATTTTTTTTTGTTAATCATCAAGAATAAAAACAAAAACAAAACAAAACATGTAACCAATGGAAACTATTTAATTGAGTAGATATTTTAAAGAAAACATATGATTTTATGTATAGAATGCCAGATATATAATGTGTATATCAAGTAATAACAATATTAATTATAATGATACTCATCGTAATAATAATGATGTTAATGACGTTAACAGGTAATAGTGATAAACACTTTCTGGTTGCTATAGTTTCTCATTTATTTTCATCATATATAATATGGCCACGTGCACACGCACACGTACATTTATATATCCGTTAACTTGCTCCCTATTTCTACTAATGTATCACTTATACTTTGTTTTATCATTCTTTCACTCTGTAATTTTCTTTCAGATAATAGTGAATTTTTTCTAAAATATTCATAACCTCACCCCTCCCTCTCTCTCTGTGTGTGTGTTTCCCTCCTTCTCTTTCTCCCACAATTTATTCGTGACTTAGTTTTCATTATTTCCTGTAGATATTGGATGATAAGGTGTTTGCGTACATTATGTAATGATAATGACGATAACCATAACAATGTTTTTTTTTACCCTGAATACAATTCAATAATTGTTCCCAATTTTTTCCTCTATCAACGAAAAAAAATTTATTCACTATGCAACCAACATTAATTACAAAAATGAAATTCTTAAATGTATACTCTTAAAAACTTGCTAACATCCCAACACTTCATGGTTGATTAATAAATTTATTGATTTCTTTTACAAAAAAAATTTCAATAAAACGTAATATCAATTTATCTATCTACTTAATAGCTTATGTAATAATATACTTACCTTACTTACCTGGCTTATATGATAATGGTGGAGGTGATGTCAGTGGGGATGAAGAACAATCTTAGGTTGGGAGTGTTTAGGAATCCAATTGGAAAATATGACTGTTATATTTATGATTTATTCCTTCATTTATTTTATTTTTTAAAATACTGGGGAGAAAAAGTGGAAGGAGAATAAAAGTGAAGAGTTTTAGTAGTAGTAGTAGTAGTAGTAGTAGTAGTAGTAGTAGTAGTAGTAGTAGTAGTAGTAGTAGTAGTAGTAGTAGTAGTTTTAGTAGTAGTAGTAGTTTTAGTAGTAGTTTTAGTAGTAGTAGTAGTAGTAGTAGTAGTAGTAGTAGTAGTAGTAGTAGTAGTAGTAGTAGTAGTAGTAGTAGTAGTAGTAGTAGTAGTAGTAGTAGTAGTAGTAGTAGTAGTAGTAGTAGTAGTAGTAGTAGTAGTAGTAGTAGTAGTAGTAGTAGTAGTAGTAGTAGTAGTAGTAGTAGTAGTAGTAGTAGTAGTAGTAGTAGTAGTAGTAGTAGTAGTAGTAGTAGTAGTAGTAGTAGTAGTAGTAGTAGTAGTAGTAGTAGTAGTAGTAGTAGTAGTAGTAGTAGTAGTAGTAGTAGTAGTAGTAGTAGTAGTAGTAGTAGTAGTAGTAGTAGTAGTAGTAGTAGTAGTAGTAGTAGTAGTAGTAGTAGTAGTAGTAGTAGTAGTAGTAGTAGTAGTAGTAGTAGTAGTAGTAGTAGTAGTAGTAGTAGTAGTAGTAGTAGTAGTAGTAGTAGTAGTAGTAGTAGTAGTAGTAGTAGTAGTAGTAGTAGTAGTAGTAGTAGTAGTAGTAGTAGTAGTAGTAGTAGTAGTAGTAGTAGTAGTAGTAGTAGTAGTAGTAGTAGTAGTAGTAGTAGTAGTAGTAGTAGTAGTAGTAGTAGTAGTAGTAGTAGTAGTAGTAGTAGTAGTAGTAGTAGTAGTAGTAGTAGTAGTAGTAGTAGTAGTAGTAGTAGTAGTAGTAGTAGTAGTAGTAGTAGTAGTAGTAGTAGTAGTAGTAGTAGTAGTAGTAGTAGTAGTAGTAGTAGTAGTAGTAGTAGTAGTAGTAGTAGTAGTAGTAGTAGTAGTAGTAGTAGTAGTAGTAGTAGTAGTAGTAGTAGTAGTAGTAGTAGTAGTAGTAGTAGTAGTAGTAGTAGTAGTAGTAGTAGTAGTAGTAGTAGTAGTAGTAGTAGTAGTAGTAGTAGTAGTAGTAGTAGTAGTAGTAGTAGTAGTAGTAGTAGTAGTAGTAGTAGTAGTAGTAGTAGTAGTAGTAGTAGTAGTAGTAGTAGTAGTAGTAGTAGTAGTAGTAGTAGTAGTAGTAGTAGTAGTAGTAGTAGTAGTAGTAGTAGTAGTAGTAGTAGTAGTAGTAGTAGTAGTAGTAGTAGTAGTAGTAGTAGTAGTAGTAGTAGTAGTAGTAGTAGTAGTAGTAGTAGTAGTAGTAGTAGTAGTAGTAGTAGTAGTAGTAGTAGTAGTAGTAGTAGTAGTAGTAGTAGTAGTAGTAGTAGTAGTAGTAGTAGTAGTAGTAGTAGTAGTAGTAGTAGTAGTAGTAGTAGTAGTAGTAGTAGTAGTAGTAGTAGTAGTAGTAGTAGTAGTAGTAGTAGTAGTAGTAGTAGTAGTAGTAGTAGTAGTAGTAGTAGTAGTAGTAGTAGTAGTAGTAGTAGTAGTAGTAGTAGTAGTAGTAGTAGTAGTAGTAGTAGTAGTAGTAGTAGTAGTAGTAGTAGTAGTAGTAGTAGTAGTAGTAGTAGTAGTAGTAGTAGTAGTAGTAGTAGTAGTAGTAGTAGTAGTAGTAGTAGTAGTAGTAGTAGTAGTAGTAGTAGTAGTAGTAGTAGTAGTAGTAGTAGTAGTAGTAGTAGTAGTAGTAGTAGTAGTAGTAGTAGTAGTAGTAGTAGTAGTAGTAGTAGTAGTAGTAGTAGTAGTAGTAGTAGTAGTAGTAGTAGTAGTAGTAGTAGTAGTAGTAGTAGTAGTAGTAGTAGTAGTAGTAGTAGTAGTAGTAGTAGTAGTAGTAGTAGTAGTAGTAGTAGTAGTAGTAGTAGTAGTAGTAGTAGTAGTAGTAGTAGTAGTAGTAGTAGTAGTAGTAGTAGTAGTAGTAGTAGTAGTAGTAGTAGTAGTAGTAGTAGTAGTAGTAGTAGTAGTAGTAGTAGTAGTAGTAGTAGTAGTAGTAGTAGTAGTAGTAGTAGTAGTAGTAGTAGTAGTAGTAGTAGTAGTAGTAGTAGTAGTAGTAGTAGTAGTAGTAGTAGTAGTAGTAGTAGTAGTAGTAGTAGTAGTAGTAGTAGTAGTAGTAGTAGTAGTAGTAGTAGTAGTAGTAGTAGTAGTAGTAGTAGTAGTAGTAGTAGTAGTAGTAGTAGTAGTAGTAGTAGTAGTAGTAGTAGTAGTAGTAGTAGTAGTAGTAGTAGTAGTAGTAGTAGTAGTAGTAGTAGTAGTAGTAGTAGTAGTAGTAGTAGTAGTAGTAGTAGTAGTAGTAGTAGTAGTAGTAGTAGTAGTAGTAGTAGTAGTAGTAGTAGTAGTAGTAGTAGTAGTAGTAGTAGTAGTAGTAGTAGTAGTAGTAGTAGTAGTAGTAGTAGTAGTAGTAGTAGTAGTAGTAGTAGTAGTAGTAGTAGTAGTAGTAGTAGTAGTAGTAGTAGTAGTAGTAGTAGTAGTAGTAGTAGTAGTAGTAGTAGTAGTAGTAGTAGTAGTAGTAGTAGTAGTAGTAGTAGTAGTAGTAGTAGTAGTAGTAGTAGTAGTAGTAGTAGTAGTAGTAGTAGTAGTAGTAGTAGTAGTAGTAGTAGTAGTAGTAGTAGTAGTAGTAGTAGTAGTAGTAGTAGTAGTAGTAGTAGTAGTAGTAGTAGTAGTAGTAGTAGTAGTAGTAGTAGTAGTAGTAGTAGTAGTAGTAGTAGTAGTAGTAGTAGTAGTAGTAGTAGTAGTAGTAGTAGTAGTAGTAGTAGTAGTAGTAGTAGTAGTAGTAGTAGTAGTAGTAGTAGTAGTAGTAGTAGTAGTAGTAGTAGTAGTAGTAGTAGTAGTAGTAGTAGTAGTAGTAGTAGTAGTAGTAGTAGTAGTAGTAGTAGTAGTAGTAGTAGTAGTAGTAGTAGTAGTAGTAGTAGTAGTAGTAGTAGTAGTAGTAGTAGTAGTAGTAGTAGTAGTAGTAGTAGTAGTAGTAGTAGTAGTAGTAGTAGTAGTAGTAGTAGTAGTAGTAGTAGTAGTAGTAGTAGTAGTAGTAGTAGTAGTAGTAGTAGTAGTAGTAGTAGTAGTAGTAGTAGTAGTAGTAGTAGTAGTAGTAGTAGTAGTAGTAGTAGTAGTAGTAGTAGTAGTAGTAGTAGTAGTAGTAGTAGTAGTAGTAGTAGTAGTAGTAGTAGTAGAAGTAGTAGTAGTAGTAGTAGTAGTAGTAGTAGTAGTAGTAGTAGTAGTAGTAGTAGTAGTAGTAGTAGTAGTAGTAGTAGTAGTAGTAGTAGTAGTAGTAGTAGTAGTAGTAGTAGTAGTAGTAGTAGTAGTAGTAGTAGTAGTAGTAGTAGTAGTGGCTTTTAATTTACTTAAATCTTCAAGATTTAAAAAATATGTTTAGTACCGGCACACAGTGAATGTGACAAGTTGTGTAAACTAAATATCAAGGAAAAGTTGCTTCTTGTTCAGATTTCGGCTAAAATATTGATCAATTAATGAGCATATGTGATGTGATTACGAGCATAATAAAAGGTTTTTATGTAACATAAAGTATGCTCGCACTCTAATCTCAACTCCTAACGCTTGTTCTTAATCCCAACTACTAATACCAATCTCTTTTATTTTTGTTCTAACAACTAAATTATCATATAAGTCTATTGTTTATGTTAAAACTATTTATCTACTGTAATTTGATTACTTTTATTACAAACCGCTGTATAACTACACTGTGTTTCTCATTGGTCGATGAATAGCTCAATGTACTCAGTATAGTATCGTCTTATTAATAGTAACAGTGATAATAAAAATCATCATAATAAATCATACAGTCAGCCGAAGTTGGACAAGGCAAAATTACAAATATTATAACCACGCCTTCCGTGTACTAGTATAACCTGATGCACGACTGAGATTTTCAAATGAATTAACCTCATCCTCATATCAATGAAGTAGGTAATTTGAAAATTGACATTTAAATTGTTTTCAGTCTAATGATCTAGTGTAATTTTAAAAGAGTTAACTAATATGTGTATATATTAGATCAAGTCTTGTAGAGATTAGTTTTATGTTTTGGGGATAATTTCCACGAATTTATCATAGATGGAGTGCAGTTGGA